AAAGGGAGGGACGGGACTGCTGTTCTGCATCTGCATCTGCATCTGCATCGCCTCCATTGTCTTAAAGCTCGCCATCTTGCCACTAGCCAATACGCTCTCCTGACTTGCGCACCGCGCCTCTCTCTCTCTCTCTCCATCCCAGCTTCGTCGTCGGAGCAGATACCCAATTGCTCACTCACGAAAGCAGCCAACGAATCGAGGAAAATATGATTAGGACGCGCGCAAGGACAGAGCTGGGAAGAAAAGGTATTCTAGCTTCCGAGGCAGAGATTGAAAAGTGGAAACAGGAAACGATAGACCGGTTGGATAGAGAGCAAGGAGGAGGAGGAGGAGGAGCATCACATCAGGCGTCGAACTCGAGTCATCAGGATGTCAATGAAGATGCGAGATGACCAGGCAAGCAGCTGATGTGATCACATTTGAGCAGGTATGTGCGCACACAGCATACACGAGACTGGGCGCTGTGAAGGCGGGGGGAAGGAGGAAATGCTTTCGCGATCCGATCAACGAGAGGCAGATCATCGCGAACGGCGCATCACTCGTTTTCCACAAATTCAGTGTGTCCAGTCTGCTTGGCATGCTCCGTAGCCTGCTTTTGACCCTGCAGTGGTGTCTGGCACCGATTGCACTTCAGTGCAAATGTCGACGTATCGGTGTAGCTGAATGCCAGTCGCCGAAGCGATGCTCTGTGTCAACATCATTCAGCCCTCGTCACGCTGGCATCCTAGCTTCGAGCCTACTTACTAGTGCCTTTTCTTCAGAACAGAGACGAGATCTTGCACTGCTTCGAGAACGACATCTTCGACGCCCACTGGTGGCACTGGGAATCTCAAAGTGCCAAATTCCAAGGGGGCATCCGGAGTGGGCAGTAGCGCTATAGCATCGTAATGGCTAGCGGCGATGGACGAGCGGCTTTAGACCGATTGGCGACGCGAAGCCTGACTCCGCACCGGCTCAGCGCGCCATGCATCACCGTCTGTACTCACATGCCGCTGTACAACAACCACGCTCGCTCTTCGAAGCCCATGCCCTCTCCGAATCGGTGCACAACTCCACTCGCTACATCAGCAGCGTGCAGCTCGGTTTGAAAATGCTTTGATAAGATCGAAAGCTCCATGGCACCTCCCCACGTCTTTGGATCTAGCATCTTGGCGGCGTATACCGCTGGGTCATGTCCCAAGATCACCTCTGGATATTCGGCCGGGGAAGACAGGACGACAGAGCTCACGACTGCAGATGGGGTAGAGCTCTTACACCTTCAGCGAGCTGGCCAAGGGATTGACCTATGTGCGTCCAGGCCATGTGGGACAGCGCAACGCTCCACGCGCGACTCACTCTGCCGAAGCTCTTTACAGACAGCAGCTCCAATGGTGCCCTTCACCAGCATGCTGACAGCATTGAACAGACAGCTATTGTCATCGTCCACAACTTTAAGCGTCAAGGCTTGACCGTCGAGCGGGACGTGAATCTCCCCATCAGCTACCTTGGCGCTCTTCTTTGCTGCCGGCGAGCCGGTGTATGCCGACGATGAGAGCGGTGCCCGACTTGATCCCGCGCGTGGCGTCGTTGCCCCGCCAAATCTGGCAGAACTGGCTGGTGGCTTTGGCTTCAAGGCGGGTGGTGCTGCGGATGCTGAATTGCCGGAGGCTTGTGGCAAGGGCGTGGAAGGTGCAGCAGTGAAAGTCCTGCTTGCGCTGGGAGCCGCTGCGGCGGCGCTCTGGCTCGAGCTAGCAGACGACGTAGTGTCTGGGATCGTGTGGGCACTTCGGTTGGGCGTGGATGAGGTTGCAGGCTTGGACGACACTGTGAGCTGACTTCCGGCCGTCAAAGCAATGTCAGGATGGCTAAGCAGTGTGCCGGGTGAAAGGGTGGAAACGCTAAGCGGGCGTGGGGGATATCCAGTCCGAACTGAGCGGCGAAGGAGTGCAGGCTGTACTTTTGTCAGGCAAACGCTGAAAGGAGAGGAAGCGCGCAGAGAGTGCACCTTCACTCACGCTCTTGATCCAAAGCTGCGATTCCACAACTTTCACTGATGCTCTTTTGCAAGTCCTGCAATGTTTTGACCTGTGCCAAGTGCAGTGTGGAGGTGCCTTGAGGATGCCTGTTGCACAATCAACCAATGTTCGATCTCAGCGCTGATTTCCGACACAAGCCAGATAGAATACCTACCTGATGCGTATCATGATGATGTGCAGACTAAGATGAGGCGTAATTGCTTTGTTTGAAACAAAGTGCTGGGTTGGATAGGGGAGGTGGAGATGGTTGACCACGACCACTTTGCAAGTTGGCTCGCGCGAGGTGGAGAAGTGGGAAGGAGAAACAATCACGAATCGTGAACGAGCGGCGCGCGCGTGTGTGGGTGCGGAGCCGCGCGTCGCATGCGTGATGCGACTCTGTGCGAGTAGAAGTTCACGTGATCGATGAAGTGCTCTGCAACAATTACAGTCACGAGTGCAACTCCGCGGAGCTGGTCGGTTCGACTCTGGCCGCCCATGCTGCAGGCGCCTTGATCACGTTGCGACAGTACCGCGGTACCCCAAGCGTCGCTCGATCATTCTGGGGGCGCGTAATTCACGAGAACTCACGATTCGCAACTTGAGATCTCAAGTCATGCGCATGTTCTAGCTCCAACGTCAGACGGAAACGTGTCACACTCAGACCTTCGAGCATACTCCTCTACACGACAACAGACACGAGTGTGGCAAGCCAAATATCGTCCCTCTCCAGCGCGCACATCTGGAGCTGAACAGAGGGAGCGCACACCACTCGATCTTGCCATCAAGCCCGTACCGTCTAATCTCTTAGCCAGGCAGCCAAGCACGATTTGGATACGCCGAGATGGCTTCTGAAGCAGGTGACGTCGTACCATCGACGCCCATATCGGGTGCTATTCCAGCTCCGCAACCATCCGTAGCCTCCATCGTGCAGCCTCCAGCGGCTCCAACGGACGCAGCATCGCGTTTCAGAGGCGCATCAGTGGAAGACCTTCAACTTTCGCCAGCCGTTTGCGTAGATCTTCGAACGCCTTTGGGATCCGCACTTCGCATCGCTCACGATCACGATTATTCTCAACTTCCGGTGATGGATGGACGTAAACCCAAGGGATACTTGGATGTGAAGGAAGCTGTGCATCGGACGGGGACGGGTAAACTTAGCGCAGAGAGAAATGTGTCGGAGGCTATGACGAGGTTCAGAGGAGAAAGCGCCGGAGGTACCTTTACCGTCATCACCCCCGACACGGGCTTGGCCGAGCTTGAAGGTGAGCGATGTGAGATGAGATGCAGGGTGCCATTTGAAGAAGAGCGCAGGTGGATGATGATCATGGTGCCGTTCCGTCGGACGCATGTATGCTCACCCACCTCTTCACTTCTACGCACGCGCGTCCTGCTTTTCAGCTTTCCTCGACTCGAACCCCTTTGCGTTTGTGACAGACGTGGATCGCCAATTCGTCATCGGCATCGCCACGTCGGAAGATCTTTCGCGCTACATTGCTCGCAGAGGCCTGACGCCGGCTCCTTCGCGAGGTGCGGGGGACAAGTCGAATGCAGATGCGTCAATGGACGTTGATGGGAATCAGACGCCCACGGGTGATCAGACGAGTACAAGGGAAGGCGATACCGTGTCTGTGAAAGGTGCACAGGCCAGCGCAAGTCAAGAACAACCTCTTTCGAGAAGGGCAGAGGAGGAGAGGAGAAAAGATAGGACTTTGGGAGAGTTCTTGGGTATGCTCGACGGCTATGATCCATTGGTGAGCGGGACTGGTCAATCGGTTGAAGGCATCTCAAGAAGCGCCTATCTTGACTGAATTCGCTTGCACCCTAGATCCCGGACGAGGTCACGGAGCACTACTTGTCTAAAGTAGGCTTCGAATGCGACGATCAGCGCCTGTAAGTCGGCCAAGCGCGCTTCCGTGTAGCTAGACATTGCGCGGGGCTGACCCATTCTGTGCGCTCGTCCTCTCAGCAAACGCTTGCTGTCCCTAGCAGCCGAGAAGTTTGTTTCAGACATTGCGACGGATGCTTTTCAGTACGCTCGAATTCGCACCAATGCGGGTCCGGGACGTCAACGAGCTGGCGCGAGCGGCGCAAGGGTGAGCCAATGCACTTCTCGTCGCGCTGTGCGGGGATACGTTGGGGCTGATGTACACTTGCTTCGTTCTGCAATCGCATACAAAGGATCGAGCTCGTACTGTGCTGACCATGGACGATCTGAGCGCTGCCCTAGGAGAATACGGCATCAATGCTGGACGCTCCTTCTATCATTAGGCAGCTTCCGGATGAGGCTCAACAAACAAAATCTGCCATTGTACTTTCAGACTCGAGGAGACGACCGTCGTTTGCCTTGCACGACATCACATGGTCTTGACTCGGTTCTGTAATCTCTCGCGAGCACCACAACCTGCTTCCCCATTGTACAGCGTTCTAGGCACCGCTTGCTCAACCTCGAGTTTGTGCTTTCCTTGTTGGCATAGCCCAGAATAGCGCCAAAGGAGACGAGGGTCGATCACCAACCAAACGCCGCCATCAGACTTCAGTATGAGCGAATCACGAAACATCGCATGCCATGCTCATTGAACTTGCTTTAGGAGGCACATCATGTACCGACGACTGAGTAGGCTAGATTCTGATACGAGTTTGAGAGCATGCGTGCGTGGACATGTTGTGTGACTGTCAGAGCAATTCTGGCTCGATGAAAGAATGTTCTAGGCCGTGTGCTGGTGCGCCGCCGGACTTAGTAACGCGTCTCACCTCAGAGGGCGGGCGTACGCGTGGAGGGACAACCAAAATCACGTGGATGTCCCTCAGAGTCACGCCAGTCGTGAGAGTCAAAAGTGAGACAGGAGAGTGAGAGTCTTGAGTCTTGAGGGCCAAGCTTCGCTGATCTGTATAGTGATCACCATCATCATCCTCGAGACAAGGCACAGTCGACTTTGACGGTTCGAACATCACGCTCACAAAGCACTCGTTTTCCTCCTACGCGCGGAAACAAGTTTGCTGTTCTTGCCATACCCATCATGTCGCTGTTTCGTTCCGCCACGCACACCTTGGTGAGTGGCTGGCCGGCACTTGAAGGCCGAGTAAGATCTACACCGATTTGTGCGCTGGCTCACAATGCTCTCTTCGCTTCGTCTTGCTGCTGCACAATGTTCAGCGTTCTCCTCTCGTTCAACCTCTGCGCTCCTCCAGTCTGGCCGCTTACAGCTCCACGAGACTATTTCATCAAACAGCATCTCGCTTTGCACTCGCTCCTGCAGAGCGCAAAAAGATCGACGATGCCGTACACGCTCACCCCGTTGTCGTGTTCATGAAGGGAACGCCAGAGGTGCCTCAGTGCGGATTTTCTAGAGCGGTGGTGCAGATCTTGCAGGTGCAGGGCGTGAAACCTGAATGCTTGAAGTGAGTGGCGGGAGATCTGGATACGGGTTTGGGCCCGGAGCAAAAGCTTTTTCCATGCAACAGCTGCAGCACGCAATTGCAAAGAACGCGTACTGTCGTCGCAAAACTTCTGGAACACCTTTTCAGGCTGCAACGGACGCGATGGAGCTGCGCGGGTGTTCTTGGAGGTGATGGGCATCTGCGACGAGAGGTAGACGTCATCGGACGTAGTCACCATGAGTCGCGCAACTGGACTTAGAGCAGCATTTCAAACGCTGTCCACTTCTCGAGCCGACTTGAGTCGGAAGGGGGAGACAGATCACTCGGCGGTTTTTGTTCGAACGATTGAGGCGCAAAGCGCTGAAACATCTTTGCTTCACCCCCTTGTCGCCGCTTCAGAACTTACAATGTGCTGGAGGACTCTGCATTGAGAGAAGGTATCAAAGACTACAGCGCATGGTAAGTGTCCTGGCAACACCTCAGCTCTAAGCCACGATGCTGCTCACACTCAACGCCCAAACCATCCTTTCTCGCCCCTCGCCAACTTTTGTTCCAGGCCCACCATCCCTCAACTTTTTGTTGCAGGAGATTTCCAAGGTGGCGCAGACTTGGCCCTGAGCAGTAAGTGTCAACTCCTCCCGCACTGTCCATACTCGGCGCTCAGCACGCTGCTGATTAAGTCCCTTTTTCCGCAAACTGCCAGTGCACACATCGGGAGAGTTGGAGGAGGTGCTCACAAAAGCTGGAGCTTTGATCGAGCCTGCGACGCCACCTGCAGGCACCACAGAGCAACAGAAAGGTCAAGCTTGACTTCGCACAATGTTGAGCGCACCTCAATAACGTCTGTGGACAGCCAATCACGTTGCGTGGCATCTGTTGCGCAACGTCCCCTCTTCGCTCCCACGCAACGACGTAGGATCACCCAGATTCATGCTCGCTCGCGCGCAATGGTACTTGGAATATAAGGGATTGTTCGTTGGCTCTGCAGCAGTGAGAGCAGTGGGAAAAAGTGATTACATATCAACGACCAGTGATAGAAGACCAGGAAAGGGGTAAAAAGATGTCTGTGGGTGACATTGAGTGAATGTGCTGGGTCAAGTGTACTGTAGACTTCGCAGGTGGGGGGTAAGTGGGGTGGCGTTAGATGTGATGCAGGCGTGCAAATCAAAGGATTTGGCAAGTAAAAGCGCGGCAAGTGAAAAAGCGTGCATGAAGGGACGCGTATACGGCAATCAGTCATCCCCGCCCTTGTCCACGGTTTCCTTGCCATGTCTGCCGCGCCAGATCCCGTCCGTATCGACTCGGCCATAGAGTTCGGTGCTCTGGTTTCTTCGCAGCCCGTCGTTCCACTCTTTGACGATCTCCTTGCTGTCCAGCATGACATTGATCTCTTGCGAATGGTACCAGCTCTGGGTATCTTGGTTGCCGCTCCCAATGATGGCCACCTGATCATCAAACTGTGCATACTTGACGTGGCAATTTCTCTGCTTTCGAACCGCATTGAGAGGCCTCGTCATGTCTTTGCCAGTATACCAATAGATCTCTAGATTGTCCTCGTCGCCCTTGCCTTCACGTCGCAGCTGACGATACAAGCGCGTCACGACTTGCTCATTTGTTCCGCCTTGAAAAGGCATGCTTTCCGACTTGTCGTTGAAGCCCAAGCCCAACCAAAGCTCCACTCGAACTCCTCGGCGGCATGCGTGCAGGATGGCGTGCTTGATAGGTGTGGCGTTCAAGGTTGGCGATTGGATGAACACATGCCGCTTGGCATATCTGAAACCAGCCAACCACGCGGCATCCTGCGCATTTCGAATGTCATTGTGTCCAGGCGTACCGTGTGGTCTGCGATTGACCAGCGCCATTGGGACGGGGGCGTGCGGCTTATGGAAGATAAAGGGGTTGAAGTCGATGACTTCACTTGCTGCAGCGCCTTCCGAGGCTGAGACACTTCCTGGGCCGCTCTTGGAGGGGTCCACACCTGCCGCCTGAGACATGGCAGCGAGCTGCTCGGCAGTGATTTCGCCTTTGACTTGGCTGAGATTTGCAAAATCCAACGACTTGGTGATGGCAGCAAGTCGTTCCTTGGCTGATACTCTGGAGGCGATGGAGGCAGTCCTTTTGAGCTTCTGACGGTACGCAAGCGTGCCGGGTGTACCTTCCTCATGGCCATCACTTGTTCCAGCTACTTTTGCGCTCTCGTCGTCGTCACCACCAGAGCTGGACGCCTGATGCGGTGACAGAGCATCCTCTGGAGGCGAAATTGGTTCAAGGCTATCGCCCTGTGCAAGACGCTGAGCTGTCGCACTAGAGCCAAAGTCGGAGCTTGGAGCATCAACATCGGCAATTTCGCCTTCGACCTTCTCAGAGCTTTGTTCAGTGTTGATGGCTGGAGCACCATCCGCATGTGCTGGCTGACTGGTGTTGTCCAGGTTGAGCTCGTCGACGGTGCTCGGTTCTTCGGCGACCACCTTAGGTACGCTGATGCCGCGAGCTGCAGCATCTTTGGCTCCTCCACGTGCAGCGCGCGATCGGCGAGCGTCCTCTGCAACATTTCTGCTCGAGCTAGGGCCCAGCCCAAATGCGTCAAGAGCGCCTTCTGTCCACAAGTTCGGCTTGATGCCTTCCTTCTTCATCAAAGCCTCTACTACGTCTGCAAAGTGGCGTCGAGGTCCAAAAGATGGGCTTGCAGGCGGCGTGTGCCCGGTAGTGGTAGGAACTGCCTTTTCGGGACTAGAGGGCAAAGCAGGTGCACTCGCGGCAGTAGGTGTGCTGGGATTGCTGCTCCCAAAGTTTGGAAGGTTCAAATGTCCAAAGCGCTCCCTCAGGACTTTTTGCGCCCAGAGCTGCCCAGCACGCCGAGCGTCCTCCACATTTGCTTCACCGCTCGCAGCTGATGTATGCTGCTCAGTGGCACCTGCTGCAAGGTTTGCATCCCCGCTGTTCGGTCCCGCATGAGGCGTGGCAGCGTGTCCACTCTGCTCCCTGCGGGACTGCATCACGACATCGACGACTTCGGCAAAGCTTCGACGTCGAGGAGGGCCAAAGGTAGGACTGGATACCTCCTCTGTCTCTTGGTCCTCCTCGAGGAGTCGAGCTCGAGCCGCCTGTGCCATCTCCTTCAACTGTGTCGTGCTGATAGCAGGCAAACTTGAGAATTCGCCGCCAGCAAACGCATTTTGACTGGGTACTTTCGGCGCAGGCGAGCCGAGACAAGGCAAAGGCGGACGCAAAGCATTCCCCCAAGAAATCAGAGCGTGATCGTACACCGAATTGACAACATCGCCTTCTAATCTGGTGCAGGCTTCAATGTTTGGTCGATCCTGGATGTTGTTGCTATTGATCAGAGCAACAAGGCGGTCGACAAGAAGGAGCTTGGCGTGGAATGTGCCCATAAGGGGGCGATGGTAATTACTAAGGGGTTTAGGGCGAGGTTGCTTAAGTCATTTGCGGAGCGCAGCTGCGATCCGGCGGTATTCCTTCACTCACAGTACTTCAATGTGGATATTGGGGACCTGATCTTCCTCTGGCAAACCGTTCTCCTTCCACATCCCAGGAGGAACGGGCTTGCGTAGACGGAACAAGTCTGCAAGCGTTCTGGGTCCTCTGTCCCACATGATCTTTACGATGATCCGCTCTTCAATTGTTGGCTTGGGGAGAGCGTCAGCGTCTTTTCCTGCCGTCTTTGCAGCCTGAGCACGCCTCTCGCCATGTCTCTTGTCGAGCTCTCTAAGCGCTTCGGAGATCCGATTGACGTTCTTTCCGCCTTGCCAGTAATTGGTGAGAAGCACAACCTCGCGTCGAGCTGCGACGATGCAATCGTAGTAGTGTCCAATGATGTCTGGGCCTGTGCTGAAGATGCTGAAGGGCACAATACCGGTCGTCGCCAGGAGTGGAGGAGAGACGACTCCTGACATTGGGTGACGTGGCAGGGGCAAAAGGCAGTCTGCCAGCATCTAGGAGCGCGAAATGAACCACACAGAGGTAAGTTCGGGGTGAGTGTATGCACATAACGACGCACGCTTCTGCTTACCATCAAGTACAGTCTACCAGGACCGCCCTCCGCTTCCGACTTGTACCCGTACATGTCTCTGATCTTTTGCAGCTCGTCCTCCTCAGGCTCGACGTTGCATGCATGCACGGCTCCCTTGTGCCAGTTCCATCCTTTGCTTCTCCCTTCTTCAAGCTGCTCTTTGATCTTAAACCTGAGCAAGCCTCTGCGAGCTGCAGTCGGCGGCGGAAACAATCTCTTCTCTGCTATCCTGGGTGCGAGCTTCGGATCAGCAGCGACTGCGGAGGTAATTGTGGCATGCTGCAAAGCTGGTTCTGAGGAGGAAGCGACACCTTCCTTCTCGGCCTTCTCCCGCGTCGCTTTCGTAGCTGAAGGAGTAAAAATTGTAGACTTGGCCGCCATGTTTGCGTGATGTCGCTACCCTTTGGAAAAGCTGTAACCAAAGGTGGATGCAGGGGCGATCCTCGCTATCCGCTTTGCGAGGCAAGCGAGTGATTATGTTGATGATCACGAGCGCTGCGCTGGGGCAAGACGTGTTCACTCGCTGATTCTCTCTGCGTGGGCGGTGAGTCGTAGGAGAGAGTGGTGGCCGCGTTGATTGTGAAGAGTATACATGCAAATGTAAAGTGACACTAAGTTGCCTCGTCGTGATGATTCACTTTGCGCAAGGTCGAGGCGCGATCTTCGAGGAGGGCGTGAGGGGGCAGGAAGAGGTCAAGAGGCTTGGCACACGGATGTACTGGATTGCAGCTTTGCATCCGACGAACGCTTTTTGAGACGAGCTGCGCTTGCGTACATGCACTCGGTATTGGTGTATCGTGCGTACCGCTAGCGCAGACTGTGAGCGCCCAGTCACCGCAATGTCAAGGGAGAGGTACCGGTTCGGTACAGGATGAAGTGCACAACAGTACATCGGGAGCTACATTAGCGGTGTGTAGAGGCGCGGCGGGCTCACGAACGCTCGTGACTACTCACGATCACCCACGCGCGGCAGCACCACGCGTTCTCCGGTATACCGCGTGCAGTCCTGAGTTACTGTAGTCTTGAGTGCGAACAGGCAAGCCACACATGAATGACATATGTACATGTACACTCAAGATGCATGACTTGGAGTGCCGGTCGCAGTTCCAAACACAGCATGCAGCAGCTGCTATACTCCCATCTGCGCTTAGCACGATCACGACGGCTGCTCTGCTCAATCACCTCTTCGACGTCACTCTGCTGCAACGGCTGCCGGGGCCCGGCAGGACACATGGGTATGTGGCGCGGCACCTTTAGGTTGTGTGGCAGTGCACGTTGTATAGGTACTTGTTCTTATTTATGCACCACTGTACCGCGCGCGGCTATATGAGTGTGTGTCATACAGGCAAAGGTCTGCTTGGACACGACAGCGCGTGACCAGTCACACTCAAAGACTGCAGGATGTGAGTCACGAGCGACTTTTCAAGCCGAATCCGGTCATCAGCTAAAGGAGCAAAGCCTGCAAGCAGACGCCGAAAGGGGCTCTCGCTGACGCTCAAAGTACGATGGGCACAGCCGTCGACACCCTTGTCATCAAGTTGGCCTGCGCAAGCAGCCTCCTGGCGTCCCCAGCACTCCTCTCGAGCGAGTTCACAAACTTGTGGCTGGCACTCAAAATCGTGAGCCGTGAACCAGGGATGCGCACCGTTGCGTCAAGCGATGCATGCCCTCAGGGCTACAGTCACGTGACTCTCTCTCGAAACAAAATTTAATGTTGGTAACCTTACACGCTGGTAAGGGAGACGTAGGTCTTCTCCGTGCACCAAGCGGCTCCCCTCAGGGCTTTCCAACCAGCATTGTCGCATCGGACGACCGCCAGTACACTGCAGTCCTGTGCTATTCGCAGGCAGGGCAAAGGACCAACAGTAAAACGCGGCATCAGCGCCATCTGTCTTTGCTCTTCGAGCTTGACAGCCCTTCCGCATCTTCAGCCTTCGATGGAATAAGATCGTCTGTGCGCCAGGAGTCGACGGCATCAGCTCTACCCATGCCGCGTGAAGACCATGGATGCTGAGGACGGAAATTGTGTCGGCGTTTCGAAGCGGTTGGCTTGGTCAAAGATGCCGCATCGGCATCGGTAGCAGCAGTCGAGCGCAGCGAAGGTGGTCTGTATCGCATGCTCTTGGTGGTGCTCTCCAAACCTGAAGTGCTGGAAGGAGTCGAAGTTTGCGATTCGCCTGCCTGCTGACTATTTCCATCAACGCTTGCCTCCTTAGAAGGCTGTCTGTTCGTCCATCCTTCCTTGGCAAAAGTCTCGTGCGTCTGAACGGTGGGCGTCGCGCTGCGTCCGATCCAGACCTTTCCATCTTCTGCCGTAAACTTCTTGCCGTTGTCCAAAAACACTCGAACCGGGTGGTTACCCTTGTTGCGCGCGCCGTATGGATTGATCACTCTGCCTCTCGCGTCCTCGAAGCGAAGGTGAGCCTGCAGGGACTGAACGGGATGCTTGCCCGTTGGAGCAGGTTGGTGCCAAGTGCGCACTACTTGGGCTCGCTTAGCTGTCTCAAGAATCGGCTGAGTTTTGGTCAGGTCATGGACAGCATGCGCGATTGTGTTGCGATGGTAATGATACTTGTCTTCGGCCACAGGACCCCAATCCCACAAGAGGCTTTTCACTGCTTCCAATCGACGTTCCAGCCTTCTCGGCTGGTCATCTTTACGCCAACTTGACGCATCGCTTCGACTCTTGGGCAGTTGACTAGAAGGCGAAGCTTCTGACGGTCTTCGCCATGAGCTGGCATCACTTCTAGCCGACGGAGATGGTGCAGAAGAGCGTCCGCGCCAGCTGGACGCTCCCAAGCTTTGCGCAGTTGTCCCCGAGCCAGAGCTACCCACTCCAGCGTCCCAATCTTTTCGCCATCTCCTTGCCGTGTCCCTCTCCGTGCGCGAGTCGGAGATTCCCGCTTGAGCATCTTCGGCCTTTCTCCATCGCTCCGCTGTTCCCGCTTCGGTGGCTCCTGGGTTCGCTAGATTGCTGTGATGCAGATCGCTGGGAGCTCTACGGCTTGAGCCCGCCATTTTCGGACGACCTGTAGGCACATCACCCACTCTCTCTTCCATAGGATGTGGATTTCTACCAAGCCAAACTCTGCCGTATTGATCCACAAGACGCGAACCCGACGACAGGTAAATGATGTGGGTGTCAGGCTGAGCATCGGCCTTTGGGTTGATGATCGTCTTCCCTTGAGCATCGAACGCCTTGATTCGGGCACGTATGACTTTGCCTACTCGATGAGGCTCCGCTTCGAAGCCCCTCACGACTTCTGCGCTTGCCATTTCGGAAAGACCAGTTTCGCGATAGTGAGCAATCGCGTTGAGTAGTTGGCTTCGATGTAGCCCATGTTCTTCGCCTGCCAGCGAGGCCGGATACTTTACTTCAATAGGTTGTCGCTTTTCGATCGCAGCAGCCTCCTGGATATTGTCCAAGCCACTCGTGAGACTACTCTGCCCCAATACTCTCTCGTTCGGTGTCGAAATCAACATTGCACGCGGTGCTGCGAGTGAGACAGCGATCGAACGCTTGTGGAGCTACATGTTGTCCGCGTCAGGATAGCGTCGTTCAGTGTGTGGCCACATGGGCCCGTCTGAAAGAACAATCGCGCCTTTGCACAGCAGTGGTCTACTCACAGCTTCAGCAGCTCCCTGCTCGAGACGTGCCGGTGATCTGGCATCTTCTCTTCCCTCGCCATAGGATGTGCCCCCACTCACTGACCCTTCTGGTGTTGCACGAGCGAGGGTTTCTCCTCGATGCGAGTCAACTGGTAGTCGAGGTCCCTTCCTGAACAATGCCTTGCGTCGCAGCGCGAGCTCCTTTCTGATCGGTTTCAACTTCTTGCTAGTCTTAGCAATCGACCTGGTCATGGCTATCCTGCCAGAGCGCTTCATGCCCTCGCCCGATAGGCGAGCGACGATGGCAGGATGAGCATGACCGTGCCTTAGCTGCGCAATGTAGGGTTCGACTCTCCCTTGAAGGAGCTCCATCGGCGGCCGATTCTTTTCAGGTACTGGAGTGAAATGAGAAGGGATTTTGCCAGTCCCAGTGACCAGTGCGTTCCGACCGCTGGACTGCCATGGTTGAAATTTGACGCCCTCTGCCAAAGGAATCGCGTAGCTGTGATGCTCGCCTTTTTTCCGTGGAAATACCCAATGACTTTGAAGCCTCCGTGTATTTGTATCAAAAGCCCTGCCCACAGCGTACCATTCACCGCTATCCTTGACGTCTTCGCGGAAGCCTCTGTAGACGGTGAATTGATGCATATTTGGTTCGTGGGCGCCTGCGTGCGCTGCTGCGCTTCTCGCAAGTGCCTCGCGCGTCACTGGGTCCTTAATGACTGAAGGTATGACGACTATCAATTTGTGCTGCGTGGAAGGAGCTTGCATTGTCAGTCGGCGGTCTGGTAGTATTCGGTCATGATACCCACTCGTCGGTGCGGAAGATCCATCTCGAGCTGTTCAGCGGTGCTTTTTTTACGTCAGCGGGCGAAAGCTGTGCATTCGGCCTCCTCTTTACAACGTTCTTACAACATGTGAAGACGTTTGATGCTGCGTCAGACCTTCAATAGATGGCCCGGCACCAGCGGCATGGGTGAGAGCTTTGAGAGGAGCCTCGCTGCCAGCTCGACGATATCTGGTGCAGCCAAGAGGGGGACATGTTCGCACAGCTCAGTGGCTGCGAATGTCAAGGCGCACGGCAAAGTATCGGGACACTGACAAAGGTGTGGCGTGGTCGTGTGCAAGGAGATGACCACGAGCAAGGTTGCCACCGGTGTCGGGTCCTGGCTTCGCGGCGTGGAAGAGAACCTGAACTTTCTGGGAGGCAGAGTCGTGTGAGAAGATGCGTGCTACCACATCTAGCACGAAGAGGCCAAAAGTCTTACTTTGGATTCTGACGCAGCAGCACTGCTCGACTGTCATTCGATCTCACGCGCTTGCGTCAGACTGCTTTGCCATCCTCAGAGAGCCCGTCGCAATGGTACTCACTGCATGCGCAGCAGCAGAGGCACTCGGTTCAATGATGACTTGAGCTATGTTCCTCGGCGCCAGGCGTTTGTCTCTGCAATGTTTCATTTGATAGCATAGGCCGGTGAGCTCTACTCGAGGTGCGCGATATGACTCACACAAGCTCACAAAGTGGCCGTGTTCGTTGTAGTGGCCATCGGTGACCGCCGCTCGATGCGCGATGAGCCCGAAGCTACATACGGCCCAGCACCCTGTGCTTCGTCGCTGGAAGTGGGGGTCTGAGTCGTCGAGGCTGCATGACTGGTAGAAGCTTGCGCTCGCGTCCTGCTAGCCCGTCGCTGATTTATGCGCCGCTCATGGAGTTGTTTTCGAATAGAGCGTATGCCTGAGCTGGAGCTAGTTTTCCATTTGGCTGGTCTGCTACTGGCCTGTGCGGATCTATCGACGCTTGATAGGAGCGCGGGATGCTGATCAGCTCCGACTTTGGGAGTGAAGCCGCCCGGCTTGATGGACTGAGGTTGGCGCTCATGCTCTGGCACCACTTGCCAGTCGGGAGAGATGTTGCCCGTGCCAATCAGGAGCTCTTCCGGGTTGCCAGACTTGCGCGTGACATTCTTGCGAGTCGCCATGGAAGCGCCACGCTGCATTGGGACAAGATAGAGATCTCTTGCTTTCTGCCTCCCTTCGCTGACGTGCGAGACCTCGGCTCGCCAAAGCGGAGGCAAAGCCTTTGCGTGCCTATCGTACGCGTACCCAACGGCGTAGTGGACTGGCTGATCTTTCCATTGACGAAAGCCAGCCTTGACAGTGAATTGAGCCATGTCCTTCTGATGTACCTTGTGAAACTCCTGAACGCTGTGATCAATGGCAGCCTTGTGATCAGGCGCCAATGCGCGCATGTCGGAGAACAGCACTTTGACCGGTCTTTCGATGCCCTGCGAGGAGCAATGAAACAAAGCACGTCAATCAGGAAGGAAAGCGCCGTTATTGAGCTCGCTTCACATACCTCTGCATCAAGATAGCGCTCCCTAAGAGAGTAGCTGACCTGCGCGGTCCACAGTGGAGAATGATCAGCGCGATCGTAGCAAGATTAGCAGAAGCTGACCTCACAGATGAGACTGCTGCTGCTCTGGCGTACGCACTGGCCCCTGCCAGCAGCGCCAGGAAGGCAGTTCCAAGCATGTTTAGCGGCGAGCTTGTTTCGAAATCGAGCGTTGGAGCAAGATTTGCGCAAAAGGGAATTGCACAATTGCTGAGAGTGAAGCGCTTCCACTTGCGAGGCCAGCTCGTGAGGTAGCGCGCAAAGGAGACATAGAGTGAAGGGCCAGCGAGAGGAGCGACAGGCGCTTCTTTCAAGGCGCAGATCTTTTCAACCTTTTGGAATGTGACCTGCTCTCGCCACAGCTTCGAACATACTTGACGCCTTTTCAAGTGGCGAATCACAACCCTCGACCTGGTCTCGGTGATCGAAGTAGATGTGAGTTGCCCATGCGCCACTAGAGTGGCGGTGGCAAAGCCCGAGCGTGGCGTCGCAAGTAAGAGCGAAAAAGATGCAAGTGAGCATACACTGGCCTACTCGCCACTAAGACCGAGACCAGATGCACAAGAAATAAGATGTAAGCAGTGACGCCAAGGTGATCTGATTGTTGTTTCCAATACCGTGTAGGGGCCTTCACGCCACCAAGGCTGGTCAAAATGTGCAACGGTGAAGTCTTGCGTCGATGACCGTGGTCGAAGGAAAGCGCCAAGCGACATGAGTGGCAACATTCTAACACTAACGTCTCCTTACCGAACTGCTGGCCACTTGGCGCCCTTATGCGTGCTGAGTGAGTGTCAGCGGACATGTGATCTTGACATT